TGCACTTCAGAAAAATACTAAAAGAAGGCAAGTAGAAATAAAGTGACATAGGTAAGAATTCAGGCAGAATTTTCAGATAATGGCATCCTATTTGACTTTTAATATAAATGTAAAAGTTTCAGGCCGGGTGTGGTGGCTCATGCCTGTAATCCCAGCACTTTGGGAGGCCGAGGCGGGCAGATCACGAGGTCAGGGATTTGAGACCAGCCTGGCCAACATGGTGAAACCCCATCTCTACTAAAGATACAAAAAATTAGCTGGTGTGGTGGCAGGCACCTGTAATCCCAGTTACTCCGGAGGCTGAGGCAGGAGAATCCCCTGAACCCGAGAGGTGGAATTTGCAGTTAGCTGAGGTCTCACCACTGTACTCCAGCCTGGGCAACAGGGCGAGACTCTGTCTCAAATATTTAAAAATTAAAAAAAAAAAATAGTTCCTCTAGCTCTCCTGCCATGCAAGGCCTCCATCAGTACAACAGAGATTCACTGAGAAAAACAGCACAGACCTGAAGGATACTTCCAACCAGATTCCACCAGCTCTGTGCTTAGTAAGAAAAGAAACACAGGAGACACTCCTTAAGTGTGAAAGTTGGTGATGTGTGTAAATAGTCTTGGGAAGACTCAGAATGATAGATGGTTCTGGACTAGCTTAGTTCAGCAATTCCAACTCCAATCCCCTAGGGTTGTTTCAACATCTGATGCTGCTCTCATTCTCTCCACCCAACTCCACCCTCCCAACCTTCCGAGGCTCTTGAGAGGAAGCTATGTCTCTGTTCAGGGGGTGGGTGTTTAAACTGTGAGCCTTCCCTGGGAGCCCAAAATGGGGCAAAAAAACAGCACCTGGCTCTCAAAGTTCATTTTTCTCTGAAATTTTTGCCCAGCCCTTTTGTAAAAACGCTGTAAGCACTATGGTCTCTTGCAGCTGCTTCAGGCCAGCTTCAGTCCCTTTAAGTGAGGAAGCAGAGCCTTCCCGCACATTTGAGCTTCTCCAAAATCGGTCATCTAATGAGACTTAAAGTTCATCTCCTCGTCTTATTTATTGCGTGCAGGGTCCCAAAAATCTCTAACAAGACAGACAGACTTGAGAAAGAACTGGACAGGAAAATCAGCTATTAACTACAGACAGACACACACGTACACCCACACCACCTGCATACTCCTCCTTAAACTTTTAAGTCAGAAAGAAGGTCTGATTTCTTGGAACCACATCTGGTACAGGATCATGGAAATGTTGGAAACTAACAGTTTTCCGAAACTATAACGAAGACTTCAAAAAGGTTGGAGAGTTTAGAATAGAGCTTACAAACTCAAGTTACACTTCTCAACCTTTGTTTAGGAAGCTACAGTGGCATGCTAGGTACAACTGAAATGGATAGTGTCTCCCAAGAAACCTCAATCCCTAAAGGTGTCCAGCTTCAACTTCAATACCACCAGTAGCCGAGCGAGGTGGCTCACACCTGTAATACCAGCACTTTGAAGGCTGAGGCGGGTGGATCACCTGAGGTCAGCAATTTGAGACCAGCCTGGTCAACATGGTGAAACCCCATCTCTACTAAAAATACAAAAATTAGCTCGGTGTGGTGGTGAGCGCCTGTAATCCCAGCTACCGGGGAGGCTGAGGCAGGAGAATTGATTGAACCAGTGGAGGTGGGGGGGGGGGGGGGGGGCGGGAGCCGTGCCATTGTAATATTCTAGCCTGAGGGAGAAGAGAAAACTTCTGTCTCAAAAAAAAAAAAAAAAGAAAACCACCGATAGAAAGCAGTTTAAACAGTGTTCATGGTTTGATTATGCAAAGCCTGTGTTGGGGTCATTTCACAGATGTCTTACTTTCCCCTACCTAGCTTGTGGGTGATTTGAAGACAAAGGCTTTTCTGTAACCAGCCATGTTACTCACTACCTGGGCAAGTATTTGGCACCACAAATGTACCTCACCTGTTTCACACCCTCTGGAATTTTCCATGATGCCAGGCAGTTTTCCAATTAATACTGATATCATACTTTACAGTCTACAGAATGTTTTTATGATCATATTCCCATTAGGTCCTTAAAACCTCATTGTGAGAGAGAGACATGCGTAATCACTATTTTCCAGCTGGAGAAGCAGAGGTTGACTCACCTAATTAAATGACAGAGCAGGAAGTTGAACTCACAGCCCAACCGTCCCTATTTGGTGTGGAACGCACCTCACTGCCTCCCACAAAAACCTGCTTCCAAGCTCAAACTCTTCCTAGGCTAGGCAGCCTCTAGAGGAAAGCAACAGAATGTATTTATGTCCTTGGAAAATGTAAATAAAATCTTTAGTGTCCAAAATTAAGGCACACCATGTGATGTGAACATAGAGTAACATTTAAATGTGTTCCTGCGCTACAGACCTTGACCCTTATCCTGCCCAGCAAGGTGGTGGAGCTGGGAGTCCCTTCTCCCTCCGGGCCTCAGTTTCCCTTCTGTGGACTTCCAGAGTCTAAATTCGATGGGGCAGAGCTCTTCCACATCCCTCTACCCCATCCCTACCCCACCCCCCCCACCCCCACCCCCACCCCCACCCCTACCCCCCACTCCCACCCCCACCCCACCCCCCGCCTCTGCGATGAATCCAAAGCAGGTCGCATGACCGGGGCCCAGCGAGAGTTCGGAGGGGCACGGCTCCCCAACCCGCCCGGTCTCCCCAGAGTCGTCGCTAAGGCTTTGGGCCGCTTGCCAGGGAGACGCCGAGCTCGCCGGAGGTGGGGCGCCGGGGCCAGCGTCTCGAAAGGCCCAGGGCGGAGGCCGGCAACCTGGGCGAAGAACTGCCTGCCCTGCAGCATTCCAGGAGAGTTCCCACGGCCGCGGAGGTCAGCGCGGCGCCTGTGCGGACAGCGCATGCGCTGCCCGCGGCGGGGCGGGACACGGCGGGGCGGGGCGGGGCGGTCCAGATCAGTAGCTCCTCCCTTCCCCGCCCGCTGGGGGAGGAAACTGCGCGGGCCCTAATTAACGCCGCTCAAGGACACTGGGGATTAGCGCTGGCTTTACACGCAGACCGTGGAGTCGAGAGGCGCGTGCGATGATCCTTGAGTCTAGATTCCTAGAGCAGTGGTTCTGGGTGCTTGGGGACATTCAAGATTCGTGGGTCCTGTCCCCAGCAGCCTGGGTGAGACCCAGGAATCTGCATTCCCAAGTCTCCCTAGGTAATTCCGAGATAAGCGGCCCTCCTTGGCTGGACCCACCCTCTTGTTGCAGAGAAATGACCGGCCCACGGGCTTACAGAATAAGGCGACGGAGCCGGAGAAGAACCCCGATCTCCCGACTTGCCCTCCAACACGTGCCCTACTGTTCTCTCCCCTCCTCATTTCCAGGGCATGGTTTAATCAATCCCAGGCAGGCTGGCAGGCAGTTCATTCCCATTGGTTGGGCTAATTGAAGACTGAAAGTCCCTTTCCCAGAACACCAAAGAACCCCATCCAGCAGCCCCACATCAAAGCTCCACTCTCAGCTCAGACCCTTGGCCAGTACTGCCTCAATCTGCGTGGGATGTGGGACACCCTGGAGAAAGCTATCCCCACACTCCAAGCAAAACAATGGCCTATTTGGGTGTTCACACCCCCCACACTCACAGTCTTCTCAATATGTGAGCAGGAAGGACCGTCTGCACACAGAATCACAACCCACCAAGAATGTAAAATGCTCCCATGTCAACATGTGTGGAGTTTGGAGGGGTCTGACCCACCCCTGTGTGCCGGAGTCTGGCTTGAGTTTAGGCACGTTCAGTAACAAGCGGTGACCTCAGTCCAGGCCAGCTGGATCATATGTGCAGACAGCCATTCTCAATGGCCCTGGGTGGGGAAACCGACACTCCCTTGCATCTCTGCATGAGCAGCAGCTGGGGATGCATCGGGGATGAGCAGAGTTGAGATCCCCACACACTCACAACCCCTGCTGTCTGCAAGATCCCTCCCCAGGACAAAGCCTTCAAGATAAAGCTTGCCCTTGTGGAGGGGAGCAGGCTTGGGGCTGCAGATGCTGGGGTTCTACTCGCTCTCAGAAGCCCCCTTTTCCCTAGCAAAGCAGCCAGGTTGAGAGAGCAGGACTTCTGTTCCCTGGGAGGGTCCTTGGGCCCGTTCTGGGGGATGAGGTGGGTGTCCTCAAGCCCAGCCCAACACTCTGTGGAGAACAGTGTCATTTTCTTCTGTTCCTCCCAAATTGCTGCCTCTCTTTATCTGTCCCGTCCCAGCCTGGCTTGTCTCAAAACCTCAAGGCTGCAACTCTTTCCGAGAAAGCCAGGAACAAATCTGCCAGTTCCATTCCCCAAGGGGGGAGTTCCAACTCTCCCTCCTGGCTCCAGATGTAAAGGAACAGCTGTGGGGTGGCAGGAAGCCCAGTTGGCAGCTAAGCAGGATCTGGGAAGATGGAGAACGAAGGCGGGAGAGACAGGCAAACGGCAGGATTGTTATGATTCTAAAGACCTAGGAAAGAAACCGTTTCATCTCCTGACCTGACAACTGGCTGATAGGCCCTGCCAAATCCCTTCGACGCTGCCCTCTAGGACTGCCCACCCCAACCTGGCAGCCTGGGCTGCTGGCAAGACCTTCCATAAACTACGTTTTCTGGTTCCCAGTTAATCTGAGAAGGGAAACTTGGCTTTCTTTGTCTGACCCCACCCCTGTCCTTAAAACACATACCTCCCAAGCATGAGATTTGGGTAAGTGAGGAATGGTGTGGGAGAGAGGAAGGAAGGTGGAGAAGGCTCTGCCACTCCCATCTGGCATTCTCCAGCCCCTCCCTCCCCAGGGCAGTAAACCAGGATGCAGGGTGCCAGGCTGGGTGTCTGCAGACAGGGCTGCTGTGAGCACCACCTCACTCTCCCACTATGCCAGGTTGGTAATGCATGACTGGGCACCCAACACTGGACTGAATAAGTAATTATTCCCTGAGTGACCATGCCATGCTCTGGTCTAACAAGCCTGCCCACTGCCACACCCTGCCCCATGCTTTCCCCAACCTGAAAGGACACTGGAAATCACAACTGCTTCCGTTTTAGGAAAAATAGTTTAATGGTAGGTTTGTAACCTCTTTTCTAGATGAGGTTCCATTCTCGGGGGAACCCCCACACCACTGCTCTTCCCATGCCTGCTGGGAGGTAGCAGCCCCTCTCTGGAGGGCACCCACCCATTCCCGATGCCCCTGCCCTCCTGGGAGGCAGGTGCTGGGTCTAGGCCTTGATGGGGCCATCAACTGAAGGTTTTTACAAAAAGTGGGCAGAATACTTTACTGGCCTCTTTCCTGGATGCATGGGACCAGCCCACGGCACCTTCCTACCCCTTAATTAAATAGCCCATTAAATAATCGCTTGGTGCTGGCAGAGAGGGGGTTCCACAGCAACAAGCCCCCTGCCCTGGTGGGGCTCCCGTGGCCCCAGAGCCCCCACCCTGACTGGATCTCGGCTCCGTAAGAACAGCCAGGGGCATGGCCTCATCTCAGACCTGGCCAGGCCCGGGACTCCCTCCCCAAGAGGGGGTGAGTCCAAGTGGGTCATACTGGCACCAGGCATCCCCACAGCCACAGATGGGGGTCACCCAGACAGCAGAGTAGGCAACCGACAGGCTACAGCTCTCGCCCAGGTCAGAAGGACGTGAGGTTCTTGATGGCTCCCATCTCCAGCATCCGCTTAATGGCCAGCGCCTCTTGGGAGACGTTATGGCCTGACCCCTGTGGAGACAGCCAAGGAAATCAACTGAGGGACTCCCAGGGACCTCTCTGTTTCCAGGAAAGTCTCCCTGCCCCTCCCCGTGGCCCCACACTTCTTGGGAGCTCGCCTCCCCATGCTGGCTCTTGGAAGGAAGACAAAATGTGTGTGGCTGAGCATGGAGGACGCTGGCCAGGGAGTCCAGATGCCTCGGTTCTAGTTCTGACTCCAGGAGTCACCGCTGGGTCTCGGCACTGCTCCCACTCACCCAGCATCCCTCTGACTGTCTGGTCCCTAGGCCCATCTACCCCCTGCCCCACCATGCTCACAAGCCAGGCACTTACCGCCATGGACTTGAGCGTGATCTGCTCATAGTAGTGAATGGTCTGCTTCTTGTTGTAGGCATCTGGGTAGCCGAAGCCAGCAATGTGCACCAAGTCACAGAGGTGGAGGGCCAGCGTGATGGCCAACAGGCCTGTGGTGGGCTTCTGAGGAACAGGGGCGGGAGGGTGTTAGAGGAAGCCCTGCTCCTCCCACCATCATCTCTGCCAGCGCTCTGCGGTGGAACTTTCTACAGTCATGGAAACGTTTTCCATCTGCGCTGTCCAACAAGACAAGCCACGAGCTAACAAGCACGCAAAGGGGGCCAGTGCAGCTGAGGAAATTAATTTTTTATTTTATTAAATTTTAATTCATTACATTGTAAATTTAAGTCGCCACATGTGCTGGGTGCAGTGGTGCATGTGTTCCAGCCACGCAGGAGGCTGAGGTTGGAGGACTGCTTGAGCCCAGGAGTTCTGGGCTGTCATGTACTAGGAATGCACCTGTGAAGAGCTGCTGCACTCCAGCTTGGGCAACATAGTGAGACCCCATCTCTAAAAATCAAATATAAATAAGTAAATCAATAAATAGCCACATGTGGCTAGAGGCTGCCATTCTGGATGGTACAGCTCTATGCATCTGGGGCCTCTAGAGATAAGAACAACAATCAGAATGCCAATCATCATTACATCAGTTACTTTTTAAATGCTTACATGTGCCAGACACTATGTTTAGTATTTTACCTACCTACTATAAAACATTATCTCATCCAGTCTGGCAAAAACACCTGGAGGTAGATATTATTATTAACCCCATTTTACAGATGAGAAAACTGAGGCCTACAAAAGCATTAAGCAACTCCGTCAAAGGAAGGGAAGCGTTCTGTTCTCCTCCTTGGAGAACCTGACGTTGTTCAGAAGACCTGAGGGCTTGACATGCACTAGCTGTGTGACCCTTTATGGGGTGGTGCTCTCTTTATTTTTTTATAAAGATGGGTTTTTACCATGCTGCCCAGGCTGATCTCAAACTCCTAGGCTCAAGCAATCTGCCCACCTCGGCTTCCCAAAGTGCTGGGATTACAGGTATGAGCCACTGCACCTGGCCTCTCCTCTTTAAAGCAGGACAGCAGTACCTTTCCCATCTACCTTACTGGCTGCTCTGAGGACCTCGCTTGCTCCCTAATTCATCTGTAGTGATGGGCAGCCTGATAGTCTCACTTCTCCCACTTTGCCTTCCTCAGTTCCAGCAACCTGCTTTGCACACAACTTCAGCTGCCCACACCCATTTGGGAGCCATTCCTGGACCTCATCAGGCCTGTCGACACGCCAGCTTCCTCCCTCTCTGAGGTCTCCTGTCTGCTCATCTTCCATCCCTGCCTGGGCCTTCTTTTTCATCCTTGTTGCTTTCACCAACAGTGTGTTCCCTCATTCAGCTGGGCTGAGCCACACTTCCATGGCCTTCTAGCCATCTCTGCCTAGACACAGGCTCCTTACACTCACCAAATTCTTCCTCTTCCTCATACTCTCTGTATTAAATATGGTTGGTTTTTGTTTTGTTTTGTTTTTTTGAGACAGAGTTTTGCTCTTGTTGCCCAGGCTGGAGTGCAATGGCACAATCTCGGCTCACTATATAATCTCTGCCTTCTGGGTTCAAGTGATTCCCCTGCCTTAGCCTCCTGAGCAGCTGGGATTACAGGCATGCACCACCATGCCCAGCTAATTTCGTATTTTTTTAGTAGAGATGGGGTTTCTCCATGTTGGTCAGGCTGGTCTTGAACTCCCAACCTCAGGTGACCCGCTTGCCTCAGCCTCCCAAAATGCCACGATTACAGCCGTGAGCTGCTGCGCCCAGCCTTGTATTAAATATGTTACCATCTCCCCTCAGCTGTCCAAACTGGAAACCTAGAATTGGTCAGAAATCTCTCAGTTCTACCTGTAAAAATATAAGGCAGAATTGTAAGAGAACCCCAATGACCCTGCCCATCATGTAATCTCATCCCTTGCGCGTGTGTGGGGAACCGGTGAATATGATGCGATTACGTTACGTTACTTTATATGGCACAGTTGAACAGAAGAGGAGAGGCCGTCCTGCTGGGCTTGACCTAATTACCTGAACCTTTAAATCCAGGTGTCAAGATCAGAAACAGAGGCGGTCAGAGATTTGAAGCACAAAAAGGATCTATCATGCCATCGCTGGCTTGAACACGGAGGCTATACAGCAAGAAATGTGGGCCACCTCCAGGAGCTCAGTGTGGCCCCCGACCTCCAGCTCACAGCCAGCAAGGAAATGGGGCTTCAGGTCTATAGTCACAGTAACCAAATTATTTCAACAACAAGAATGTGCCAGGAAGCAAAAATTTCCCCCAAGCTTCCAGATGAGAACTGTCTGGCTGACAAACTGAGTTCAGTCTTGTGACACCCTGAACAGAGAACGATCCACACCATGCTGTTCTGATCTACAGGACTATGAACCAGTACATGGGTATTGTTTTAGGCAGCTAAGCTTTTGGTATTAGTTAGGGAGCCATAGAAAACTACTACAGGCTAGGCGCGGTGGCTCACGCCTATAATCCCAGCACTTTGGAAGGCTGAGGAGGGCGGATCGCCTGAAGTCAGGAGTTTGAGACCAGCCTGGCCAACATGGTGAAGCCCCATCTCTACTAAAAATACAAAATTTAGCCAGGTGTGGTGGTGCATGCCTGTAATTCCAGCTGCTTGGGAGGCTGAGGCAGGAGAATCGCTTGAACCTGGGAGGCGGAGGTTGCAGTAAGCCAAGATCACCCCACTGCACTCCAGCCTGGGCGACAGAGTGAGACCTGGTCTCAAAAAAAGAAAAGAAAACAATACAATGTTGAGTCCCTCTCCTCCTTTTCCCTTCCCACCGCCGGGAGCTGGGTTCAGATCCTCGCCCTCTCTCACCACCCTCTCCAGCCTCCTTTCCATCTGTAACCCTATACGTGGTGCAAAACGCCTCCTTGTTGCCCTTCTACTCCACTTGCACTGGAACAGTTCAGTGTTGGAGGAGCCGCCCACTCTGGCCAAATGGAATGCCTTTCCCCAGCACTCTGCCTGATCCTCCCAGGCCAGGCTCCAGCACCACCTCCTCCGGGGAGCCTCCCAGACATCTCTCAGCAGGCATCCGCCCCTCCTCTGAGATGGCATTGGGAACAACTCTCTATCGTGGAATGTTATCACCCCACAGCGTAACCTGTATTCTTACACTGCTAGACTGAGGTCCCTTAGGGGAAGGAGCACAACTTCCTCGCCAAGCATGGAGACTTGGGGCCTGGCATTGGGCAGTCACAAAATTACCCACTGTTCTTCAAACAGGAGATGTTCGGTAAACAATAAAATCACTTATTCAAATCTGGCAAATATTTAAAGAGCAGGCACTGTGTACCGGTCTCCAGAATAGGTATTTTACATCGTTATTATTTTTAAAAATCCTACAACAGCCTTAAAAGGTCATCATGGATATTATCCCATCATACAGGTAAGAAAACCAAGGCTCTGAGCAGTTGATCTGTCAAGACCCACACTACGCAGTGCAGCCAAGCGCGCCCTACCTGTGTCTGCTGGTACCTGTCTCTCACCATCCCACACGGCCTCCCCGAGGGGCTCCAAGAAATGGGTGGAAGTACTTGGGAAGCTACAAAGTGGGTTAAAGCCTACCAGCTGAAGACTACCAGGGCGCTACAAGCAAAACCGTAACTTGCTATGGCTCAAGGACATCAGGTTAAAAAGAAGAAACACATAACCTGTGGTCAGACACAGTGGCTTACACCTGTAATCCCAGCATTTTGGGAGGCCGAGACAGGAGGATCACTTGAGGCCAGTAGTTCAGGACCAGCCTGGCTAACACAGGGAGACCCCCATTGCTACAAAAAATTTAAAAATTAGCAGGCATGATGGTGCATACCTGTAGTCTCAGCTACTCATGAGGCTGAGGCAGAAGGATAACCTGAGCCTGGAAGTTCAAGGTTACGGTAAGCTATGATTGCACCACTGCACCCCACCCTGGCGACAGAGTGAGACCTTAGCTCTAAAACAAAACAAAAACCCCTAACTTGTAAACTGCACTGGCTTCCTGAATTGACACACCATACCAAACCATGACATGCAAGAAGAGGCTGAAGTTCCAACTGTTTAATGCATTCAGACCAGTGTTTCAAGATAAGATCATAGATAAAGCATCTAACAGTAACTCTGCACGGCTCAAGTTGTTCCACAGATCAGACCAGAGATGTCTGGCCACTCCCCAGTTGACAAATTCTGACCAGCACCTGCCAAAGTCTCATGCCATGTTCTCAAGCCGGCCCCTAAACCTGATCCTGGCCATCCCCATCCCTCCCTACTTAGTAGATGCCCCTTGCTTCTCCACAAAGTATGCACTCCCCTTTGTGGCAGCAACTTTAATGACAGGTGTATTCCTGGAGGGAAAATGCATACTGCTGTCTCTTTTATGGGGTCCTTCCACAGCTTCCTAAGCCCATAGGAATGTCCCTCCCACTTCCCACCCAGGACCCCAGCCCTCAGCCCTGGCTTCCCATCATCACCTGCTTAATCTTGCGTAGCTGTTGCATTGGCAGGTTCAGCAGTTTGTCAGCTGCAATCTCCATGAAGAAGGGGTTGAGAATCCGAATCTGTTCAGGGTTGACATTCCAGATGAGGGGAGGCTGTTTCCAGAAACCCTTTCGCACCTAGGACGATGGGGTGAGAAGGGAGAGACAGGGGCGGGTGAAGCCCTATTTCTCAAATCCAACCCAGTGGTCCTCAGCCAGGCAAGGGGTCCAAGTGATGGCAGAGGTCTTCAGGAGCACAAGGTGAGAGGAAAGGGAGGTAGAGTCTGTGCCAGAGATGGGAGACCAGGAGAGGACCAGGAAAAGAGAGGAGGAAAGGCACCCCCTCGGGAGGCCAGGTAACCAGGTCTACAGAGCAGAGGGCCTAGACTCTGGAGCACTTCCACGAACATCTAAACAGGTAGAAGGGCCTAAAGTTTTAGGCTGTCTTTTAGAAGGAGGTCAATAGACCTCTTTCTGGGGATCATGTGTTAGGACACAGACTACCCTGCTCTAACCTGCCCCCCGCCTGGAGATGGCTGCTGGAGGGTTCCTCAGCTCTCAAGTTCCTCACAGGCAAACACCTCCTCGGGCAGCTTTCCTGTTGCAGATGGCCCTGGAGTGTGGGTGCCTTTGGCTGCTGCCACCTGATGCCTGCAGGCTTTTGTGCCCAGTTGCTGGGGCAGCTTATGGGAACACTGCCCTTGGAGGGCAGCCTAAGGCGCTGGCTGCCGGGAGCCCAGTTCATGCTGTCCCCACACTGGCTCTTTAGAACTGCCAGATAGACATCAAAGAGCATGAGGTCCTGACTTGGGCAGCGTCCCCACCCCTGAGCCTCAGTCCCCACCCCGTCCTCCCACTTACCCGCTTCTTATCACTGAGGATGGTCTCAATCCAGTGGAAGTCCATTGCTTTGAAAGCTACCAGGACGAGGAGTGTGTCCGGGTTGTTTTGTGCTTTGGGGTCGAAGTGGGCAGATTCAGGGTAGAAGAGACGCATGGTGGTCTTGGAGCCCACGTCACCCTCATAGCCAGCCACTGGGGCATTGTTCAATCTGGGGGTTGGGGAAGGATTCATCACTAGAGGCCCCTGGGCCTGTCTACAGTCCCTGGCTTGGACATCCAGTTCCCAAACAGAAGTAGGAAGAGACAGTCACACATACCTGATGACCACATCGTACTTGTTGATGGCATCTCCCAGCGAGCTGTTCCGCAGCCGGTGCCCGTTCCCCACGACCACGCAGCGGCGGCACCTGAGGCTGCCGTAGGGAGAGGAGTGTCAAGCCCAGAAGTCACCCTGCTCCACCCCATGCTCGCTGCTCTGGATCTGCCTGGTCCCATCTCAGGACCACTTCCTAGGGCCCCTCAGCCCCTAGTCCCCATGGAGCAGGCATAACCCCATGGTCCCGCTTACAGTCATGCTGACTCTATAGCCCTGGGCTTTAAAAGAGGAGGAGACTGCGCAGAGCACAGGAGAGGGCAGAGTAGTGGAGGGAAGGCACGGGGGTGTATCAGTGAGAAACTCCAGCTTCACTGTTGCAATACCCTCAAGCAGCCTCTGTCCGCTCTGCACCCAGATGCCCAGGCTAGGCTACCATGGGAATTGGCTGGGATGGTACCAGGCCATGACTGTTTCACACGGGGGCAGGAAAGAGGGGAAGGTGCCCAGGCTGGAGTTGGGGGAGTGCCGCCTTACCTCTGGATGCTCTCAGGGATGGAGTAGCTGGTGATGGCTAGCACCCGGAGGAGCAGGTCCTCTACAAAAAGAGCCGGGTGGAGGGACTGAGGCGACAGCTAGCATTCTGAAGGCTGCCTGCCCTCCCTTCACTGCTCCTCAGAGCCCTGGCTGCCTTCTTCTTCCCCTGGCCCTGGTAGCTGAGCCGGGCTCAGAACTTGGGCACTGGGGCCATGGACAGCAGAGAATAGGAAGCCCCGTGGCCAGGGCGAGCCCATGGTTCCCACAGAGCCGGGTGGGAACTTACCACTCCCCTTGGTCCCATAGGGCAGCTCGTAGGCAGATGGTGTCTTGACCCAGAAATAATCCTTAAGCTGCAGGAAGATGGGCTGATCCCGGGAGTAGCTGCGAGAGGTGAAAGCAGGGTGGGGATGAGAACGGAATTAATCTTGATGCCAGAAGGAGGGTCAGGCCCATGACTAATATTACCTGGCCTTCTCTTCCCTCCCTGGCTTCACCTAACCATGTCCACCAACACGGCTGCTCCTTCCATCTACTCCCCACGCTGTGACCCCCTCAATTCCAGCTCGCTCCATGCCCTGCTCTACCCGCCTCATCCTTGAGTACTTACTTGCCAAAGAGCTTAGAGGCCTTCCTCTCTGCCTCACCCTGGAGGCACGGCTCCTTCTTCTCTGGGATGGGAAAATAAAAACTGGAGAGAAAAAGGACAGGAGGCAGGAGCTGTAGTCAGACCCAGGGGCCCATGTTCCAGGCAGCCTAAGCTTTCTCCCATGGCATGAAGGTCCCAAGGTGCCAGGGAGGACTCCTCTCAAGTCAAGCTCCACTTGGAACCCAAGTCCTTGAAGATCCAGGTCTTCCTGCCCCTGCACTCCCTGGGTGAGGGCCCAGTGACACATCCCATGCCCTACCCCCATCCACCCTCATGGAAATACTCCGTACCAGCAGCTGAAGGGATGAGGTCATGCACCGGCTCTTGGAACCTTCCTACCCTACTAGGTCCCCCGCTCCATGATGCTCCATGCTCCATCCCTAAGCCCTGTCCCTCACAAGAACCAATGGAAGGACATGGAAGGTGAACTCACAGCTCGATGTACCTGTCTTCCCAGGAGATGCAATACCACAACATGACAGCCAGGACCACAGCCAACATGGCCAGGAGCTTCCAGCCTGCACGACACATGCACAGAGGAGCTAGAGGCAGAAACGGGCAGGTACAGCCCCAGTCCACCTTCTCACCTGTCCCCTTCTGAGCCCCTCCGACCCCTAACCCAGGAGCAGTCTCTGGCCCTCTCCTGGTCCTGCTGAGGGCTTGACCCTAATTGTGCCCACTGTCCTTGAAGACGAAGAGAGGGCCCCCTGACTGTCTGTCCCCCCACATTCCCCAGAGGTCCCAGGATGCTGCTGCAGACGGCTTCTGGAGGCCTGTCCCCCAGGGTGGAGGAGCCCTCGGATGACACTCACGGGACTTGCTGATCATGTTTCTCAGCAGGCAGCAGGGTTCCTGGGGAGAGCTGTCATCCCGGCTGCCTCGGGCCACCTAGGAGATAGGAGTCACAGGTGTCTGTCTGGTCGGCTTCACAAACTCTCCTGCCTAGACACCAGAGCAGGACACACCCACTGTCTGCCCCTCCCTTCCTCCAGAAAGCACGAAGCTGCTGCCTGGGGCAGTCATCCTGAAAGTGACCTTTCTCTCCCAGGATTCCTCCTAACTCCTCCAAGGGCAGCATCAGGGATCCAGGTGAGTCCTGCCATGGAAGGGAAAACCGAGGGTCCAGCCCTCACAGACTCGGTCCCAAGCCAGGCTGGCTACTCCTGACTCTAGTGTGGTTCTTCTCACCATCCCCTTCTGCATTTTGACCCACAAAGGGCCAGCTCCAAGAGGCAGATAGCTACCCAACCTGCTGCTGACACAAAAGTTAAGCCAACTAACTGCGAGGGCTTGAGTCCTATTTTACCCAACTGGGGTCACCTATTCTCTGCCATCCGAGGCATCCCTTGGTCTGGCCACTGCCTGCCTCTCCATCATCAATCTGCAGCCAAACAGGTCTGTTCAGGCCAGAGGCTGGGAGTGAGGGTGGGGCTACGACATGGTCCTCATGAGGCCTCCTTGATCCCTTCTAGACCCTGACCAAATGCAAACGGTGCTCAAACCTCCCCACCCAGCCATGGGGTAAGTGCAGGGAGAGAAGGTGCTTGAATGGGGAGCACGGGGAGCTGGGAGTGTCAAGAGAGCTGGTCGAAGAGGAATCAGGAGATGCTTCCAACGAAGGCGGCAAGGTGATGACTGTGCATGGGAAGGGGTGAGCTGCTGTTCACCCCCGCACACAAGCAGAGGCGTCCTCACAGGCAACAGCTCAGCCAGGGCCACGCCACAGAATCCTCGTGGAAGAAATCTCCGTGGCTTCCACAGTCACACAAAGAGGCATCAGATGCCAAGTGCCAGTTTCTTCCATCCATGCCATGCTTCCTGATGGTCTGGATTGGAAGAGTCACTTGGACCACTTCCTAAAAACATTCCAGGGCCCTTCCCTGGAGACCGCCTTGGTCAGCCTGAGTATGGCCTGGGACAGGCATTTTCAGAAATGGCCCAGGGGATTCTGACAGTCGATCAGGAAAGGGAGGTAGGCACTAGCATTTGTGCACCAATGGAAACCTTCCATTTTTTCAGAGGGGCTGGGGACAGCATCTGGATGAAGCCTGGTCCATTTTATAAACCATTAACCAGTGATCCTGAGCCCTGTCCCATGATGGAGTCAATGTCCTGCTCCCCAGCAGGCTCATTCCCAGGCTCCACTCTGAGCTCATAAGCACTGAAGAATCAGCCTTAAGTCAGAGGAGACAGACAGGCAGGGACCAGGGTCAGACTCCCTCAGTAGAGTCAGAAACACCATCCCCAGACCCCAGAGGGGATGAAGCCTGGCCCTGCTCGGGAAAGAAAAGTAACCAGGTTGTAATCAGCAGAAGTCCTCAGTTAAAGGTGTTATCCTAGAAACTCCCCCAACAGCTCTTCTGAAAGGGGCAATGCCTTCCCTACCCTTCATCCCACAGCCATCTCCGAGTTATTCCCTAGCACATGGCCCTCCTCGGCTTCATAGCTTTTCCCATCTGTAATCAGCTTAGTTACTTACTTGTTTGCTTTCTGTCTGTCTCCCCAGCTGGGACCTAAGCTCTGCGAGGGTTGGAATTGGATCTGTCCCATTTGCAGGTCTAGTCCCACATGGAGCACACTGCCTGGCACACGGTAGAGTACATCAGAAAGTACTGAATGTACAGCATGCTGGTTACAGTGGACGATCATCTCTCCCTCTCTGACCTGCAGTTTCGTCGCTGTCTGAGAAATCAGCCTATTCCCACCACTCAAGAAAGGTCAGATCAGCTCCATGGGCGTTCCAGAGCCCTTCTTAGACAAGTGGATTCTATGGCTTCCTTCCAGACCCTTAAAATCAGAATCTGCATTTGAACACGATACCCTGGCGATTCATATACATGTTCAAGTGTGAGAAGCACTGGTCAAGCCTGATGTTCTTGATTATGGCTGAAGAGGAGACTCACCCGAAGTACTTAAAAAAAAAAAAAATTTTTTTTTTTAATGAGTATCTAGGTCTCACACACAGGAATTCTGGGCTGATTCATCTAGCCCAGCACTGGAATTTGCTGATGTCCCCTGGGTGATTATAATGGACAGCCAAGGTTGAAAACCACTGGTCTAGATGATCCGTGGGTGATGTGAAGCACACTTCTCAAACCTTGATGTGCACATTGTGACTCAGAGCGTGCCAGAGTGCGGGTGGGGATCTGCATTCTAACCAGCTGCGTGGTGAGCATGGGGCCTGCCGCGTGGCTGGGACTACTCTGAGTTGCAGAGCTCAGAACCAGGACGCCTCCAGCTCTAACACTTCAGGATCTTAGGAACTGCAGCCTCTCTCGCCCTCCCTGCGTCCTCTCTCCATCTCCCTGAAGTTTCATCCTCCTTTCTATTCATAGGTCACAGCATGGGCTGCACAATGAAGTGAGCTGAGGAGCTTAAAAGCATTCAGCCAGTCTAGGCCCCACTCTCCAAGATGTTTATTTAATCGGTTAGGGCTGGGGCGCAGGCATGAATAGTGAATAGCAAAACAAACCAACAACCCACCTCCTCTGTGATTCTAAAATGCAGGCTGGGTGGGAAACACGACACTACACAGAGCTCATTTCACCTCAGGTGAAAGACAAATACTCAGGCACCCTCCAGGCCTGTCCTCCAGGAAAAAGACCTTTGGCTCCGCGGTGAGCAGCACTAACCAGTCCTGAACAACAGAACAATTAGCCCTTCTTTTACCTCTTCCCCAATAAAGTTCTACATTGTCTTGTCTTCATTCCAAAACTGCACTAAGCAGACGGGCGAGTCTTAGGGCTTGCTCTGCTATACCCAGTCAGGGATTTAACCCCCTCCCCTGTGGGCCCAAGCGAGAGGATTGCTCAGTGGCCCCAGGCATGCCAGGGCTCCCAGGGCGGGCTGCTGCCTCAAGACAACCTGGCGTCTTCTCCCAGCAGCTACCCCACATCGCTGGTCTAGCTCTGGGCATAAAGGGCAGGAGAAAAGCCGCAGTAGAGTACCAGGGTGGGAAAGCAGGCTAGAATCCACTCATGTCCGAGGCGACCAGCCTCTCACCAGGAGGGCAGCTCGCCCAACCTGCTCGGCCAAGGTGCCCCCCGGGGAGGAGGACATCTGCTCTCCTGGTGCTCTGCTAGGAACCAAGGTGTCCCTGGCCTAAGGGAGCTGGTCAGTTCTACCACAGAACTTGCCCCAGGGCAGAACTGGAGGTCAAGGTGAAGAAATAAGACCCAGCGGAGGCAGAAATCATGCCTCCTGCTGCCTCAGCATTCCCAGCCTAACACACATTGAGTACTCAGCAGGTACCCGCCAAACCAAGAAGGGCACAGCCAGATATGCCCCCAGGGGCACAGTATGGTACCCAGCCCCTCAGAGCCCCTGGACCCATAAAAATGATATGGCTTAATGTTCAGGGAAAGGATAGGGGAAGACCAGAGGGGCAGAAGCTTGGGGTTTACTTGCTGGTTCTGTGATCTTAAACGATCACTTACTCTCACTGTCCTCAGTTCCTTTTTTTTTCCAGACAGAGTCTTGCTCTGTCACCCACGCTGGAGTGCAGTGGTGCCAGCAGCTCACGGCAACCTCTGCCTCCTGGGTTCAAGCAATTCTTAAGCCTCAGCCTTCTGAGTACCTCGGATTAAAGGCATGCGCCACAACACCCAGCTAAGTTTTGTATTTTTAGTAGAGATGGGGTTTCTCCATGTTGACCAGGCTAGTCTCAAGCTCTTGGCTTCAAGCCATCCACTCACCTTGGCATCCTCAAGTGCTGGAATTATGGGTATGGGCCACCACACCTGGCCATCACTGTCCTCAGTTACATAGGGAAAACCTGAAGCCCCGTCTGCCTGCTGTTTGCTACCTTAGACTCTCCTACCTCCCCTCTTCCCCCAAATCCTTCACCAAGACACCAAAACCTCCTCACCTCCCCAGAATAGTTCGCAATGTCCCCTCTTTGCCCTGTGTCTCCCACCTCTTCCTTCTCTATTCGCTGACTTATAAACATACTCAAGTCTCCCTCTTCCTAAAGAAACAACAAGCCTCTCTCTGTTCTGTCTCCTCCTCAAGCTCTCCCTGCATCTCCCTCATTCGCCTCCAGTGATCAAACTTCTTCACCTGTACTACACCCTCACTTCCCACTCTACCCCCCGCCGCTATGCCACTCCCTCCACCCTTGTTTTTATTCTGAAATTGCTGTTGCTGAGGCCAGCGATTGTCTAACTGCCAACCCTAAGAAAGGTCTATTGTCAGTCTTTACTGTGCTAGGAGGCCTTTGATGCTGCTGGCCCTGCCTCCTCGTTGGCTTCTAGGTCAAGGTCAAGAAGGACCTGGACACAATGTAGGCACATTCGTTGCTGCTTTATAACCCTCCGGGTTCCTCCTGCCTCTGAGACAGGAGGCTCTGCTGCTGGGGCCTACCCTTTTTTTTTTTTTTTTTTTTTGAGAGACAGTCCCCCTCTGTCACCCAGGCTAGAGTGCAGTGGCACCATCCCACTGCAACCTCCGCCTTGCAGGTTCAAGCGATTCTTGTGCCTCCCAAGTAGCTGACATACAGGTACCCACTGCCCTGCCTGGCTAATTTTTGTATTTTTAGTAGAGATTTTAGTAGAGGGTTTCACCATGTTGGCCAAGCTAGTCTTGAACTCCTGACCTCAAGTGATCTGCCCACCTCAGCATCCCAAAGTGCTGGGATTCCAGGCGTAAGACACCGAGGGCCCGCCCTTTAAATTCTGGTATTTCCCGGGAAGCTGTCCTTGAACCTCTGCCTCTCCCTGCCACACATTTTCACCAGACAAGTTGACTCGTTTTCAGAGGTTTAACTACTATTCATATACTGATGGTTCAAGCTCTTTATTTTCAGTGCTAATTTCTCTTCCATATCCCATCCTAATATTTCCAATTTTCTAGCTGGATGATCTTAAATTCCTCAAGTGGAAGAAGATGTT